TGCGAAATTAAAAAAAAAATTCTCGGAAATTATCTTTAATAATTGGCTTCACCCTTTGGGGAAGGTTTCTTAACTTCTTCATTATAAGTTTACTAAAACGTATTATAATTAAAGAGCCAAAATATACTAAAACTTGAGAACACACGACACGATAACCTTTCTCGGGTGATATCTTTAATAATTTGCTTCACCCATTGGGGAAGGTTTCTATGTTAGAGAACTGAAACATATATTTCGCTTTAGCTTTCCCTAAAGAAAGCTCACTTAATTTTCTTTCAAAAGTGCAGAAAATTATTTGCTTCTAATGACAAGAAATAACAAAATGCGTGATCAAATTTCAATACTTTGATAAATTTTATTGAACATTAACAAGAATTAACGGAATTGTACACATATAACGCACAAAGGACAAAAGTGTATCAGTTGTATATTCACATAACATAACCCATTTAAGTTTCTCTCTTTTTAACCCTTCTAACATGTCACGAGATCATGAAATAAGCTTCCAAAAGTAATTAGCAATTTTAATGATGTAACCTTCCATCATAAGTTAGGTAAAATAGGTGTATTTTGTGGGCTACAAGAGTTTATTCAAAGCAACAGCATTGTCGGCTATATATAAGATTGTGAATAAGAGGACTTTAAATTATCACCGTAGGCCTGACAAAAATAGTAAAACACATTAGACTTTTGTGACTGATACTTTATTTTAACCACGAGTCACTATGCCCAGTCTATTCTGTCGTATCCTGGGAAGCTGGGACTAAAAGTATATAGAACAGGCAACCAAATAGCTTTGGTTTAATAGGCTTACAGAGTATCAGAGTGGTGTGGAATGTAGATTATTAAAAACTAGCAGCTACAGTGAACAGAGCCGGTGAAAAAGTGCTTGGACCGGTTGATATCGGTCAGTTAGTATAACATATCAGGATGTATGTACAATTGTGTAAAATATCATTTTGTGTCCGAGTTCTATCTAATGTCTTTCCACACAACACAGCGAAGTTCCTTAACTTGGCTTGTCCCTCGAACAACGTGTGCAAATACTTGGAGTTTCCAAATTAGCAAGCTTGTTAATTTATCGATTAAATTTATATACAAAACAAGTTTAACAGATAGATATACTGAATTTAAAATTGTTTTATGACGTTGAGATTGGAAGTTATACGTGGCATATAAAGCACATACAGAGAGACACAAAATACGCGCAATAAATCAAAATAGCATTAGATTTGGACTTGTGACGGACTAGATGCACTCACCAATTTGACATCAGTAGATACAGCATCTGTTAAGAAAATGAAAAACAAATGTGCCCCAACTGTACAAACAGTGCATAATACAGAGAATATTGAAAAGATGTTAACTTAAAATAATAATAATATATCATAAATACAAAGATAAAACAGTTGATACAATGACTTAGATATACAAGTTATCCTTGATATACTGTCGTGAATAACATACAAACGAAAATAAAATCAATTATTCTTAAAATGAAAAAGCTCCGCAGTCCGAAAGTTTTTATAGATCGACCATTTTCAATGATCTTCAAATTTGTAAACAATGAAATACTCTTGAGATGTACTTCATCATAGATGGCATTGCTTCATGTCCGATTCATCTATAGCCCTGTTGTGTATGATATCCTAAGTATGTCTCACAATAGTATACGCTGCTTCACATAGTTCTATCAAGTATCAGATTGGGGGAAATACTGTATCATGTGCTGTTACCAGTCTCGTTACGGCGACATATTTTCATGGAACAGTCAACTCACATCAGTATGATGTAGCTTTCTCGTGGGTCGTATCTTGGTCAATATTTTTTTTGTTACAGTGCACAGTGCACAGTTTCATGCAGTCTTATATGTAACGTTATACACCATTATATTATTAGACAGTATTGACATGTTTCACCATTGTCGGCACTCCACACTCCCTCAACTTTGTATATCTCACAAGGATTCACTTTTTTTTTGTAGTCTTTATGTTTTGAAGTATGGTCGACACTGCAACACGTGACTTTTGTTGATACTGGAAAGTGAAATCCTTATGTGTCTCACTAGGACCCATGCATGTGATGGTGCAATCCCCATTTTTTTCATCTAGTTAGATACTGCATCATGCAGGCTTTATGTCTCACAGGGACCCACATTATACAGTTCTAGCAAGTCCCACGAAGACCTTTATTCTATCATGTAGTTTTTATATAGTCTTGTTATGTGCTCACCACAATAACACTAAATTTTACACACAGTTTTTTGTGTTTTAGACACGCTAGGCATTTTGTCGTGAAATGCTTAAAATACTGTCTTAATATGCCTCTGCATACAATAAAATGCTTCATTCAGATATTATGTAATTCCACATGATTGAAGACGTCAGAATACAGTGAAACCCCAATTTTTCGAATAATTCAGTTAACCGAACTCAAATATTTTGTAATGAGTTAAACGTGGATCAGAAACTGCTAAGAATATGTTTTGTAACCATAGATACTAAGGGCATAAAAAACATAATTATAAATAAAACTATATTATTGCGTGAGTGATGTTCAGAAACAAACGATATATTTTTTCCGACTATTGGATATAAGTACATTGCGGCTGATGAATCATCCGCTCATTCTTCTGAATCGTGAAACATTTTTAGACCATGGAATGATCGTTATGGGGTCCGGCGTGGCCAGATGGTTAGAGCGCTCGACTCATAATCTGCGGGTCGCGGGTTCGAATCCCCGTCACACCAAACATGCTCGCCCTTTCAGCCACGGGGGCGTTATATGTGACGGTCAATCCCACTATTCGTTGGTAAAAGAGTAGCCCAAGAGTTGGCGGTGGGTGGTGATGATTAGCTGCCTTTCCTCTAGTCTTACACTGCTAAATTATGGACGGCTAGCGCAGATAGCCCTAGTGTAGCTTTGCGCGAAATTCATTACAAACAGACAATGATCATTATTTAACATCTGCGACTGAAAAGTTCGAATGGACAATCCTTTCCCATCACGAATATCGTCCTGACTTAACACCATTTGCATGTTGTTTGGTTTTAACCTCTCAAGGACCATTTAGGTGGACAACACTTCAAGTAACTGATACTTCTAAAGCAGCTACGTGCAACTTGATTCGTACGTAATACTACACTTGCGTTACATCAAACTAACACTAACAGTGACGTACATTCCACCGTAGCCGTCATAATATTGTTAAGGGGCCTGGAAGTTAGAATTTTTTTTTATTCTACTCCTGTGTCTTCTTAAGGCATTTTCGGTTTAGTCGTCTTGATCAAACCACAGCCACAATTTTAAATTAATTAACCAATTCGTAAAATCAACATCAGTAGGATTGTTGACTGCGGTTACTAAGGGACTTACGCAGTCATGGCGACAGTTTTTCAACACTCTAAACAATAAGACAGGTAATATGTCACAGAGTCAATATCACCACCTAGGTGTAGCGCAAGCGAGAAAAAAAAAAGAGAAGAATTTAAAAAATCACAGAACTTCTCCATACTGATTTTTTAAACATGGCGGTATCAAAAGAGAGAAAGTGGTGATGGATACATAACAGCCTGTGTAATTAGCAAAGTACTATAAATAAACAGTGACAAATAAGCAGTAAATTGGAAAAGAAGAACAAAATGAGGGCACGGAAGTTGCGATTGAAAATTTCCATAAAAAATAATATCCAAGAGATAAGGTTAATATTAATAATATTAATATTAGCGACTAGTAAGTGAAACGGTTTATAATAGATCATGCCGACCGAAAGGCTTTTTTTTTCAAGGGATGGGGAACAAGGCGGAAGGTATTTTTCAGACCACTATTATAATCATGCAACAAACGCAAATGTCTGATTACGGTTAACGAGGCTATGATATTCACTTTAAATTGGTTCACTATACTGTGAACTGTGAATCTGCTGGTCACTTGGCGACAGTAGCAAACTAGGGATTGAGTCTGCTTAGGTTAAAGGGGTCCGCTTGGGCCAATGGAATCCGTAACTGGAAAGGTTTTTTCAAAATACAGTCGTACGAAACTTGTCAAACGCATAAAGTTGTTTGTGTTGTATAGGATCACTTGAGGCTTAATCATACAATAGGTGTAACGTGAAGCAGAAGTCTAGAAGAAAAAATAGCTTTTGGAGATAACTTCTGACGAGAGTTTTTAATGTGTTATTCATTCTAGCTACATGCAACCATGCCTTTTATGAAATGCGGAGAGACCCTTGGTGAAGGACGTTCGGGTAATTTTATTTATTTTTTTATTCTGCACAAAGCTGCTTGAGGGATACCGGTTCTAGCCGTCTCTAATTTAGCAGTGACAGATTAGAGGGAAGGCAACTAATTAACACCACTCACCTCCAAATCTTGGGCTACTCTTTTACCAATGAATAGTTGGATTGACTGTCACTTTATAACGCCCCAACGGCTGAAAGGGAGAGCATATTCGGTGACAAGGGTTCGAACCCGTGAGTCGAATGCCCTATCTACCAGGCCATGCCATACCGATTATTTTTTTGTAATTGAGCAATAAAACAAACACAATTATTTTGAATAATTGATAAAATAAATTATAATGGATAAAACTATGGACATTAACAAGGTTGCAAAAAATTTTCTTTTTCAGTGTTAAATATCAAAATAACAGCCCAACTGCTGTAAATATAAAAAAGTTTCTTAACTTTTGTTGAAATTGAAGATTAAGGCGCTTCAGGAACTGAATCTGAATGAAATAAATGTATGGGACAAGACTTTATTGGGGCAGCAAAAATGAGCAGCATTTACAGTGATGTGGAAACCCAAATTCGTGAAAAATAATGGCAGAATGCACTTAGTGTAAAATTTGGTTTGGATTTGGTGCTAAGTGATAAGTTGTGAACACCCCTGAAGCGCCATGTTTGTTGTTGTTGTTCTTCTTCTTTATGTATTGAAGAAACTATATGTGTGTTGTTGTTTATTTGCCAACAGTGTTAAACGATGGACAATTCTTTTCTCTTTCACGAGTAAATTAGGGGTGCATCTCAAAAGGCTGTATCCAACGCGATGGTCATCCCATTTCGAGTCTCTGATAGAAATGTCTAGAATCATTCTTCTCTCAGGAAAAAAAAATGAAGTATGAGATGCTTCAATACAAAAATTAGAGAAACTGTGAATAGCGTCTCTAAAATATGACAGCGAGAATCATTTCGTCTCACGAAAGGTGCAGAACTGATTTAAATCGCCGCTGAAACATTGACAGCGTAACGTAATGAATTGGAGAATGCTGTGGTTTACCTAGCTATAAAATGGGGCATAGAGAGCAAATTCGGTGAAAGGGGGGGGAGGTCAGAAAAATTAAATGGCAATTTAATGATTTAAGCAAGAATCAGAAACAAACAGATTTCGAACAGAAGTTTAGAATTTCTGTGGTTTATTGTTGTTCGTAACGCAGCAGACGGTAAGCCAGTTCCAAACAGCATGAGTGTGACTGTACAAAGATTTGAAATTCTACAACTACACATTCTGGAGTCTGAATTAGGTGATCTTTGCCAAAGCAGAAGAGCTCCAGAAAACATATAGCAGTAGCATTTCACCATCATTTCCAAATCTGGTGCTATGTTTCCGAACATCTCTAAAGAATCAGAACTGCCAAAAAGATAACTCACCTCTTCATTGTTGAAAACACTGCCTTAACGCCTTATTTTCCTGCCATTTGCACAGCCTGTGTTTTTGTTTGTTTTTCTAAACTATTCCTGTCATCGTTGTTACTGCTGACAGATATTTTCCCAAACCTAAACTAATTGAAACAAGAAGTACACTGCGTCAAGAAAAACTATTGGGACTAGTTTTGTTGAGTAAAGGACAAGCACGAGCATTAAAAATTGAACATACACAGAAATGCTGAAGAACGGCGTTTTAACTAAGACATGGTAAGTACATATATATTTACTCAGTACTCTAGTTAAGTGTCAACAAAGATCAGAATATATATATATTGATATGGGGCAGATAACATGCTATGTACCTTACTGCAAACTAATATGGTGAAGCTCACGAAACAATGAATGAAATACATTCCCATTATTACCAAAGGCTGTTCTGAAAAGAGAAATCTGGTTGCCCACGTCCTCAACACCATTGGTGTACATTTGATGGTTGTAATATGATAATATGATGGTTGGCTGACAGGATAAAAATAATCTCGTTTCTTTCTGAACATCCCTCGCATGTTTCAATAGTCCTGCAAATAACGCGTCCAGGTACCGTGGAAATTCATTAGGCTAACTTTTAAAGTGAGTATTTTTGTTAGTAACCGTGTTTGTAAAACTACTGTGAACGTAGAGAGTACGCTGAATTATAATATAAAAATAATGATCATGTAAAACTCTGTATTTTTTTTCTACTACCTCTGAAAAGGCAGGATTCGGATATTATAGATTTTACTACACTGAAGATTCTTCCTTAATTATACTTCCAGTTGAGGAACTCTTCAAAATGTTATGATACTTTAAAGTGAATATTTTAGGTGTTACCATCTTCACATAATGCATTGTGCTTTTCACATGCTATTTAACATTTTCCGAACGCGAATTATTCAAACCGTCAAGAAATTTGACTTATTAGGTAGTTGTCTTGTTTCATTGTTAAAACAATGAATTAGTATTTCAACGAGAAAAAAAAGAAATGAGGAGCAATTACTGCTTAAAATTTTAAATTCTTCTAACAGTGAAAAGCTAAAACTCTTCACTAAAGCAACACAGATCGTTCGGATGAAACTAGAGGCTTATCAAGGGTTGACAGGCTTCCAGAAGGAGGTAATATAAGAGTAGAGGTGACACTTGCATGCTGTGTTTCCTGATGACGCCGCAAGTCCACTTTCCTTTGAAAAGCACGTGGACACAGGTCACAGGCGAACGGTTTAAAACCTGTGTGTTTCCTGGTGTGGGTGATTAAATTAGATGACTGACTGAAAGCTTTTCCACAGATGTTACACTTGTGAGGTTTCTCTCCTGTAAAAATAAAAGGCACGTGTCCAGTCAGCAGCTTGACCTTTATCAATACTTATAACCTACATCTCACGTTCATTATTGGTACAAACAAAACTGTACAACAAAATGAAGTTATGCAATCAGTCACGTGAAAGTTATAATATCTAATGTGAAAAATCTACCTATAACACAAAACATGAATGGTGTAAGGGTATATTTGTAAATTCTGTATACTGGGAAATCGAACGCTTAACAAGTAGAAATATATATATATATATATATATATATATATTGCCTATGATGTAGATACATCATTAACTGACCTGTGTGAATGTAAGTATGTTTCTTCATGTCTGACTTCTGATGGAACCGTTTCCCACAGTATTGACAAGGATAAGGTCTAGTATCAGAGTGGATGAGCAAGTGGGTGGACAGAGTGGATGACCTCTTGAACGTCTTGCCGCACTGCTGGCACTCGAAGCTCCTCTCAGTCCTGTGGACAGCTCGATGTAGGTCTAGACTCAGTTCGTGGCCAAAACTCTTGTTGCATTGAAGGCATGAGAAAGGCCGTTTGCCGTTATGCGAACGACGAGCATGTACTTCAAGTCCATGAGGAGTGCTAAATGTTTTCTCACAGCTGGAACATGAGAACGGTGGCTTTCTTACCGTAGATAACTGCAGCCCTTTTGGAATGCCCAGGTCTCTTGTCACCAGATTTACTGGTTCATTTTCTTCTTGACTCAGCTTGGAGGACTTAGTAGGGCCCAGAAGTGCTTCAATTGAGTAATCAGACAACTTGCGACCACTAGAGGCCGCTGCCATTTTCTCAGACTGCCTGTTCTGGATTTTGATGGACGTAAAACACTCACTCTGGACCTTTGAAGCTTCAGTTTTGGACGGTAGATTGAGAATGTTAGGTGTATTCTCGATACTGGACGGACTGATGCAGGGCGAAGACAAACTCGAACCAATAAACTGGTCTCCTACATAATAAAAAGGAAAAAATATTAAGTTTTTTTATTGCTAATATTTTTATTACCAGCAGTAAATATATATCTACCACATCTGTAAGCGTTTTTCATTTAATTTTAAAGAATAACGAAAAGCTGAAGCAAATAGAGTTCTTTGCTTTCTCGGGTTTTATAAAATAAAATCAGTATTTTTATTTAAGCAAACAATAATTTGATTTGTTTATTTATTTATTTTTGTTTGTTTTTGAGTGTGACGATATCACTGGCACAAATCAAGGTTGACTAAAAAAAGTTGCCCAACTTTTTATCCGGTTTAAGGGTCGCTACACGTACAAAAGTAAAGTTCGCCAAAGGAATCCTAAGATATCGGGATATCACTGGCAAAAATCAAGGTTGACTAAGAAAGTTGCCCAACATTTTATCCGGTTTAACGGTCGCTACAGGTACAAAAGTAAAGTTCGTCTAAGCAGTCCCGAGATGAAAAAGATTAACTGATTGCACGTACTCTCAAGCATCCTGAGAAAAAGAACAGCTGGATGACTCCTCTTGGCAAACCACTGTTGAAGAAATATCTGTTTAGGAAGATATTATCTAAGAATGAACTTTAAAACCAATCTGAACATTGAACACTGAACATCTTGTAAATATCCTACTCGTCGTTTACAATTCCAGTTAGGCTTGTTCTGAAATCAGAAGTCCAAACCCGGAACTTAAACCACCCTTTAGAATCGTAACATGGATGTTTCTTCAGAACTCAGATCAAGACTGAAACTAATGAAATGCCTTATGAAGTTAAAAATCAGTAGTTTCTAATCTTTCTGAAGTTTCCTCTCTCTTTCTCTCTGTCTTTTTTTTTTTTTTGAGAGGGAGGGGGTTAAAACTAGTTAAATCCTTCGGAATAGAACAATTCACAGTTTTTCTATAGCTGAAAGAAATATTGTATGTTTCAATATTAGAACCTTGCTGTTACTGTCTTGGAACTGTTCTGTTATTAAGGATAAGCTTACTATAGTCAGATTTCCACAGTAAAGTTTTTTACTGTATGTTTCAATATGAGAACCTTGCTGTTACTATGTTGGATCTGTTTTGTTATTAATGATGAGTTTACCATAGTTAGATTTCCACAGTAAATTTTACGAATATCGAACACGAATCGAGTCAATCCAAAAATTATTGCTTATATCTTAGTACATCAACGTTTTTATAACTTAATAAGAAAATAATATATCTGACCACATTTCCAGGTTGTGGGTTTCCTTTAACAGAACATTCAACAGCAAAAATAAAACATGCTCATTAAAGGGAAAATATTACAACACAAAAACTTAAAGTTGATGTTTAAATACGAATTGTGAGGAAATATAAGCTAGAGTTGGAAAGAAGGATATATATATATATATATATAGTGTAAACTAATCCAGAAACAGTTGATGCCATTCGTCCTACCAGCTTTCGTTGAATCACGTTTTTCTAAAGTTGACATTTAAACCTTCACTGTCTAATAACGAACATGTCAATACTTTTAACTTAGGTACATTTCTATTTAATTAGGTATTTTAGATATTCTTAAGTAACCAAGAATCTTAATCTGTGAATGTTTAATATGTATTGTGTGCTATTGGCAACAGTAACTCTTAACACGAGTGAGGGAACGAAGGATAAGTTTTTACATGAGCAGTGTGGCGACAAGAGACGTCTAAACAAATGTTATTTCCAGATTTTACTTTTAAATATCAACTAGACAGTAGCAGTTGATAAGTGATTCTTGTAAATTATATGTTAATGTTTTAATTCTATGAATTTATTAATCTCATATTTGAGAGTCAGTATTTTGTTATTTTATATATACGCACCTGTCTTCTGTACACGTGAATAATTTGACGATGCAATGTAGTTTGATGGAGATAATTTCCAGGATTTTATATGGTGTGTCGAACTTGAGAGACTTTCTTTAACAAATAGCGACGGCGGAGAATAACCAGAGTTACCGGAGTCCCCGTCACAAGATTTCGTTGACGCCGTCTCGGACAAAGCCAAGACCCCGCCATCATGGCCGCTGGCTATGATATTTGTATCAGCAGGTGAGACAGTACTGCCGCAGGCTTGACGCGCTAGGTTGAGGTAACGGAGCAGCACGGCGCTGTACGAACCATATGGCGAGTAGGGCCAACAGCTGGGATAGACGGCTAGACTAGCCACTGGAAGCCCGGGGGTTGATCCTTGACCTAATGTAAAATAAAACCAAGTTTTTGTAGTATTTTGAAAACAATTGCCAAGTAATAATTTTTTTTTAAATTCTAATATGACCAAAGAAAATTTCAGACAATTTATTTTTATATGGTTAAAGGTAATGGGTATATATTTTTTTTCATAATATAAAGGTTACTTCATTCCTCATATTTTGAGGTTTTAATGAAACAAGATTTGAAGAACTAATAAAGTAGTTTTATTAAAATATATTAAGCATGTATTAGCATTAGCAGCTTCTTGCCATATAATTTTTAGCATATGTCTGTCTTGTAAAATAATTGGACGAGATGGGTCGTCCAAAGTTCTTTGGTTTAACATCCTGTAAAGCAAATATTCTTCTTAATTTCTAGCATATTCTGGTTTGCTTTAAAAAATATAGCGTATTTTTATTTGTGAAGCCAGTAGATTGAACATAATTACTTTCTCCGTAAGATTCACCAACGATCAGTAGAATTAATGGAGTCCAAAAAGTTCTTTAGAAGAAAAACAAAACTTATAAAAGAAGTCAAAAAGATGAGTGGTTTTAAGTTACAAAAAAGTTATGCGAAAAAAAAAGGGGGGCAATAGATGTAAGAAAGCTAAACGAGAACTGGTTTGAACGACCACGGAACTCGAGTAGACTAATCATTTTTCACTCTTTGTCTCCCCCTTATGTCCTCGTATAACAGCGCATTAGGGAAATAATCTCAAGCCTTTTGGTAATTACAGCCGGAGTGGTGAAAAAAAAAAAGATGTAAGTTTTGCTCTGCGGGTAAGGCTGCTTGCTTATGCAAAGTTGAATGTAACTTAGCATGGAATACTTTTATACAACATGCATGACTATATAATGCTGACGAAAGAGAACAAAAATACATTATAAACACGTGGAATATCTTGCTTACCATAGGTACAATTCATTTATATATATTTACCATTTTGTTGTAATATATCTGAAAGTTTCATATACATTATATTCAGAACAGCCCCCACCCCCCCAGTGGCACAGCGGTATATCTGCGGACTTACAACTCTACAATCCGGTTTTCGATACCCGTGGTGGGCAGAACACAGAAAGCCCATTGTGTAGCTTTGTGCTTAATTACAAACAAACATTCAAAACATTATATGTAACAGAAAGCTAACATTTTTTTTAATTAAAAAATCTTACTTATTCAACACAAAATAACACTAAAAAATAACCCGTTTTTTTTCTTCTTCAAAAGTCCCTGGTTAAATCGGCCGATAACAAAACTTACGAGTCACGACAAATAGCACATAGTATGTTACCAATTATATTATTATTTCATGTGACTGTAAAATTTCCCACAGAGTGTAGTGAAACCGCACCGAACAAGACACTTTGATAATTTCACGTAAAACTTTTAACTAGCTGTCATCGTACACAAGGGCGCCCGCAGAAAAAAAAAAACTTAGGGGGGGTCAAGTAACTCAAGTTTGAAAAAGAAATTATGAAATCGAAAGACAAATACCTTATGGTTTTTCCAATAACATAGAAGAATAATTTTACAAAGCTAGTAATTTTTTCTTTTTGAAAATTCAAGGGCGGGTCACTTGACCCCCTTGCCCCTTCCTTCGGGCGCCCATAATCGTACATATTGTTTGTTTGTTTCGGAATTTCGCGCAGATTTACGCAAGGACCACCTGCGCTAGCCGACCACAATTTTGAACTGATAGACTAGAGGGGAGGTTACTAGTCACAGCACGGCTCTATAGTAAAATGCGCGATTATTATTATTATTATTTATTTTTTTTGCGGCATAGTGACGCGAAACATTGAATTACACCTGGCTTCATCACGCACATGAAGTTTCTTAGTAGCCAGAAACAATTATTAAGAGTTTGTGTGCATTACGACATTTATTTTGTTATCTGAATACAATAAGAGCGTTACTGTAAATAATCATTGTGGCAAGCAAGTCCAATTAATTCAAATAATATTCATATAAATCCTAAAGTTCGCTTTACAGGAAATACCTTCTATAAGCATCATGTGTTTGCGGCGTTCGTTTGTGTGTAGTTAAAAGCAAAGCTACACAAAGGACTATCTTTGCTGTGCTCACTACAGGTATCGAAACCAGGATTTTAGTGTTATAAGTCCCGCAGACTTACAGCAGTGCCACTGGGGGCGTGCTTGCAGTGAATAATTTATGTTTTGACAACACAAACGTGTTCCTATAGGATTTTACGACTGCATTTCTCTTCCTTACGTCATAATTTGTTTTAAATTTTATCTCTGTACGCATTGGATAGCGAAAGGTCAAGAAAATGAATTGATAATGGATAATATACATCCAACTATTTTCTGATTTTAGGAATTAACAGTATTTTTTTTAATATAATTACTCACGTATAACATTTGATCATGTAGCAAGTAACATTTCTGTAGCGGATAAAAATAAGATTAAGAACATCCTTCATTTAACCGCTAGTCTTTATTTAATTTTTTTGCTTAAGTATGAATAAACTGACCACTACTTTACTCATTGTAAATAGACTGACCACCATTTTATTCATTATGAATAAACTGATCATTATCATTATGAATAGAATGACTACTGCTTTACTCATGAATAGACTGATTACTACTTTACTCGTGCATATATTGACTATTGTTTTACTCATTACAAAGACTGACTACTGCTTTACTCATTACGAAAATTCACAACTGCTTTACTCATTACAAAGACAGATTACTCTTTTACTTATGATAAAGAATGACCACTGTTTTACTCATTATGAATAGACTGATTACTGTTTTATTCATCATAAAGACTTACAACTATCTTGTTCATTATGAATAGACTGGCTACTGCTTTATTTATCATAAAGACTGACCACTGTTTTACTCATTATGAATAGACTGACTACTGTTTTTACTCATTACTGTTTTACTCAATATAAAAACTGACCACTGTTTTACACATTATGAAAAGACTGACTACTGTTTTACTTACCATAAAGACTGACCACTGTTTTACTCATTACGAATAAACTGATTACTGCTTTACTCATGATAAAAACTGACCCTGTTTTACTCATTTTGAATAGATGGACCACTGCTTTACTCATTATAAAGACTGACTACTGCTTTACTCATAATGAATAGACTGAGCACTGTTTATTCATAACGAGGAACACAGTAGAGACGAAATGATCAGAATTAGTTAAATATGGTTAAGTCAAAGAAATATGGATTTTCGTATATTAAAGTATTACTATAATAAAACTCGTTAAGTAATTCACGCAGAAAGTACCAAAGTCATCAGCACTGTAAAACGTAACTGTATATATAATTTCCAAGTTTTGATCTCCGAATAAATGTTGAAACAACTTCAGTAGATTTTTAGTTTATTAATACGTGAAGTACAGATAATCAGGGGATTTGTAATTACTAGATTAGCAAGTATATGTTTTCGATTAGCAATGAAAATTCAAACAATGTATAATAATTCTGAAAATTACTAAGAATGTGGTATTATTTCAAAAAATTATCATTAGTTGTTTTTAATTTTTTTCAATTCTAACAGAACGTCTAAATGATTGTTTCTTTTTCTGGTTAAAATAAAATTATTTTCGTTATTGTAATTATTACATTTCTTTTGTATGTTTATTTGTTGAATTTCGCGAGGACTAATTGCGTGAGCAGTTCCTAATTTCGAATTGATAGACAAGAGGGAAGGCACATAGTCAATACCACCTACCGCCAACTCTTGGGCTACTCATTACCAAAGAACAGTGGGATTGACTGTCACATTACAACCTCCCACGGCTGAAAGAGCTATCAGATTCATTTTTACTATTATAATTATTACCTATTTTCTTTACAACAATTCACCCCTGATGATATAAGTAGATTTTGTAACGTGTTTACTTTATTGCGGCCCGGCATGGCCAGGTAGTTAGGGCGCTCGACTCGCAATCTGC